TAATGAAAGCGCCAAGAAGCATATCTAATGAAAATTCAATGAAATGGTAATGAAAGGGTCAAGGAGCTGAATGAAATATCCCAATGAAAATTCCAAGAAAATCTAATGAAAGTGCCAAGGAGCCTAATGAAATATCCTAATGAGAAATATAAAAAATCGTAATGAAAAAGCGCAGGAGCCTAATGAAATATCCTAATGAGAATTCTATGAAATGGTAATGAAAAAGCACAGGAGCCTAATGACATATCCTAATGAAAATTCTAAGAAATGGTAATGAAAAAGTGCAGGAGCCTAATGACATATCCTAATGAAAATTCTATGAAATGGTAATGAAAAAGCACAGGAGCCTAATGAAATATCCTAATGAAAATTCTAAGAAATGGTAATGGAAAAGCGCAGGAGCCTAATGACATATCCTAATGAAAATTCTGAGAAATGGTAATGAAAAAGCACAGGAGCCTAATGAAATATCCTAATGAAAATTCTAAGAAATGATAATGAAAAAGCGCAGAAGCCTAATGAAATATCCTAATGAAAATTCTAAGAAATGATAATGAAAAAACGCAGGAGCCTAATGAAATATCCTAATGAAAATTCTAAGAAGTGGTAATGAAAAAGCGCAGGAGCCTAATGAAATATCTTAATAAAAATTCTATGAAATGGTAATGAAAAAGCGAAGGAGCCTAATGAAATATCCTAATGAAAATTCTATGAAATGGTAATGAAAAAGCACAGGAGCCTAATGAAATATCCTAATGAAAATTCTAAGAAATGATAATGAAAAAGCGCAGGAGCCTAATGAAATATCCTAATGAGAATTCTAAGAAATGGTAATGAAAAAGCGAAGGAGCCTAATGAAATATCCTAATGAAAATTCTAAGAAATGGTAATGAAAAAGCGCAGGAGCCTAATGACATATCCTAATGAAAATTCTAGAAATGGTAATGAAAAAGCACAGGAGCCTAATGAAATATCCTAATGAAAATTCTAAGAAATGGTAATGAAAAAGCGCAAGGAGCCTAATGAAATATCCTAATGAAAATTCTATGAAATGGTAATGAAAAAGCGAAGGAGCCTAATGAAATATCCTAATGAAAATTCTAAGAAATGATAATGAAAAAGCGCAGGAGCCTAATGAAATATCCTAATAAAAATTCTATGAAATGGTAATGAAAAAGCGAAGGAGCCTAATGAAATATCCTAATGAAAATTCTATGAAATGGTAATGAAAAAGCACAGGAGCCTAATGAAATATCCTAATGAAAATTCTAAGAAATGGTAATGAAAAAGCGCAGGAGCCTAATGAAATATCCTAATGAAAATTCTATGAAATGGTAATGAAAAAGCGACAGGAGCCTAATGCAATATCCTAAT